GCTCCATAAAATATTGGAATATGTCAAAATTAATAAGAATTCCATTTCGTGAAATCTAGGCCCGTCAATTCCTTTTTTCTCTTTTGGTTAGTTGAAAGATAAAAAGGATAAAGAAGATTAAAATTAAAAAAAATAGAAGGAGAGTCCACCAACTGCGCCATGTGGATGGTTGGAGGAGGAAGATCCAACCAAGGTTGGACGTAAAATTTTTCCATACCAACCAGCCATGTTTTTTTATTTCAATTTCCAAATAAATATATTGTATAATTACCAACATGCCCTTCATTAAATTGAATTTATTAGAACCATTATATTTTAATGACCTCCAATGACTGAGATTCACTTGGCCATATGACTAAGGAATAGCGGCCCTTGGACATCGCTTAATATTAACTGAACAATAACCCGGTTGTGCTATTTTTTCGTAAGTAACAGTAAGCAAAATTTTGATTGCTTGCGGAATAATAATAATAATAATAATAATAATAATAATAATAATAATAATAATAATAATACCCTTAACAACAACAAAAATGTGATAGTTGCAGGATATTGGACTTCTATCTTTTGATGAGTGGACAGATCCTAACTGCTTGAACCGAAACCACGGGGACTGGGCCTTGATGATAATGACTGCTTCTTGGATTCTGATATTCTCTTCCTTCTTGCGGTACGAGGAGGAGCCTTAGGCACAACAAAAGTATTCGCGTTAGATTGATTAGCAAGCCTTCACCTAGTCAGGATTTGTGTTTACTCATCACTGCTATTCCTAAACTGTAATTTATCCAAAATAAAAGTTGCGAGGAAGTTGAGAAGATAAAGTACCTTCTGTACGGCCTTTAGGGAATCTTCAAGATTGCTCAGAGCAGGAATAGATTCACCTTCCATTGCACCCATCATATTCTTCATCCGAACTCGCATTTGGAAAAGTTGGGCAACAAGTTGGCTCACCTATTATTCATTACACAAAGACAAAGCACAACGAGCCGTTATAACAATAAACAGGTAACAACATTAGCAGCCTATAACAGTTCTCGTCTCTGTTCACAGAGCATACCTGCTGCTCTGTTTTCCCAGACGCTTGTGCAATCCTTTTCCTCCTAATTGATGACTCTGCCAACAACTCAGGCTTCTCTCTTTCCTCTGCAAATTATTAAGGCTCGTTTTCAGGGGGGGGGGGCATGGGCTGGCTGAAAGAACTATGGATAAGTATCAACTTTCCAAAGCAGAAAGGAGAAAGCCAAAGGGACCTGGAGTCATTGCTTCAATCATCGCTTCCACGATCTTTAAGCTTTTCTCTGCTTCTCGAATTTGAACAGGAGTTACCTGTTTGATTGTGAATATACGATTAGCCATTGGATGCCTCTAGTCTAGTGTCAGCAAAAGAACTAGTACACTTGAAGAACACCAGCTGCATACTTCTCAACGGCAATAAAGTAACTGTAGAACCTGAAACGGGTTCCCCCATATACCTTTCCCATCCCTGGGATCATGCCAAGGACACGAGTCATGGAACCCATGCGTGCGACTGCACGAGTTTGCTTCAGGAAATCATTGAAATCGAATGTTGTGCTCATTATCTTCTTTTGAAGGTCTTCGGCATCTTCTTGGCGCATCTAGATATCAAGGGTGAACGAAGCAAAATCTCCAAATCAAGTCATGTTTTTTTTCCAGATGAATGAATAGCCTGGAGTTTACCAGCCACTTACTACTTCTTGTGCTTTCTCCACAAATGAGAGAACGTCTCCCATTCCTAAAATACGTCCAGCCATACGATCTGGGTAGAAAGGTTCCAGGTCATCCATTCTCTCTCCTCGACCTACTAGTTTGATTGGCTTTCCTGATACCTGTCACGGGTTCCCCCTCAACTTTTAGACATTGGACAATATACAAGTTTCATTCCACAGTCCTTTTTATATTTCAATTTGTTTATAGGAAAGCAAATGAAATGACAAATGATAAGTGACTTAAGTAAAGCTTCAGCTTTCATAGAGCAACCAGACATATCGTAACTAACATATGCTATCCTACTTGAAACATGAAAAATTTATACTGCTTATATCATTGTTACACCAGTAGGAGAACAGTTTTACAGATTTGGAAAAACCAGCCATGACTGTTAAGTCCTAACCAATTTCAGAACAGAATTCTAGGTGCAGGGAACTATATATGAGTTGCTGTCTATCTAGAACAATCCAAAGCCTATGATGTAACTGCAACATTCATTATAAAGGGATTGGTGGAAAATCTTAATATAGGAAGAGGCTTCTAAAAGGTATACAGTACTAGGAACGATTCTAATGATAACTAAAACTGACCTCTTTAACACTCAGAGCAGCCCCACCTCTGGAATCTCCATCTAGCTTTGTCAAAATGGCACCCGTGATTCCAATTTCAACATTGAAAGTAGTCACCAGTGCTGCAATAGTGTAATGAGATAATGCTTAGATGATATTCCTTTCTTCGAGGATGTCTCTCATCGAGCAAATTCATCAACTTTTTGGGAAGATATGTAGTTAATAAAAGCAACAATTCATAGGATCAGAAGTGCTTAGAATATTTCATTTTAAATATTAAGATCCGATTGATCATCAAAGAAAACCAAGCAAAACATTTGACTCACTGTCCCATCTGAACCCTCAAGTTTCACTCTATTCATGAACAAACAGCACAAGAGGATTTAGCTTAGATGCTAGACTGACATCTATGTGTGTGTGCATGTGGGTCTTTTATATAAATTTCAATTCAAGCACTTGCTTTGAAATTATTGGATTGTGCAAAATAATAGGGGGAAACCTGCAGCTTCTTGGCCTGTCATAGCATCAACAACAAGCAAAATCTCAGTTGGGCTCAGGACTTTCTTCACGTCTTTCAATTCATCCATCATCCCTTTGTCTATCTGTAAACAATTAAGCAAGTAATTACTTAGCTGGAAGACAAAGCCATGAAACTTTCCAAGAACTGCATGGTTATTGTGATTTGCATATTCACCTGAAGCCTTCCAGCAGTATCAACTATCAAAACATCTACATTTTGTTTTTTAGCCTCCACTAAGCCTTTCCTAGCTATTTCAGCAGGCTTGACATCCGTCCCCTCTGTATATACAGGAACACCCACCTGCAGAAAACTATAAAATGAGAAAAAAAGTTTCATGGCTAAGAAATGAACGTTTTGCATATCTAGTGGCATATATTTGCTGTTTATTGTTAGAGTAAACGATACACAGAAAGGTTTATAATATAAACTGGATTCAACTGATACTTCACAGAAGTAGGGAAGACGCTACCTGTTCACCTAAAATGATAAGTTGTTCAATAGCAGCAGGTCTGTACACATCTCCAGCAACAAGCATGCAACTCTTTCCCTGTCCCAACCATAACAGGTGAGAACTAATGAGATGATGCAGATTGCTATTGTTGTTTTCTAAGCTAGGAACACAGATTCCGCTGAAAGTTTTACCAATGTGACAGGGAACAGAAAGAACATCTCTGCAACCACCTACCTGTTTCTTAAGATAGTTTGCCAGCTTTGCACATACTGTCGTCTTGCCAACTCCTTGTAGACCAGCCAATAATATGACTGTAGGGCTAGATTTTGCAAAAACTAGTTCTGAGACCTCTCCTCCCATTAATTTCACAAGTTCATCACGTACAATCTGCAGTAACCAGATAAGTTATATCATCCAAAAAACCCTTCAGTGAAGCTTATAACCACCAATTTGTGAGTGAACTTGACAACCTAAAAGCATATCAATTGAATGCTTCAAATGAAACCTAATTCCTATATGACACGAAAAGCTGAGGAAAGACTCAAAGTCAACACTTTCTTACCACTATAATTGCATTAGACAATTGAAATTCATACCTTGACCAATTGCTGATCAGGCTTCACTCCTCGTATCAGGCCTACCCCAACGGCTTCCTCGCTAACTGATTGAACAAACCTTCTAACAACTGGAAGGCTTACCTACCACAAATATAGCAAACCTTAATACTGTATATGAAGTTTCATAAGGAAATCATTCTAATTTCTAGCCATGAATACGAAAGCAACTCACATCTGCTTCCAGAAGAGCTCTCCTAATATCCTTCATAGGCTCCACTATATTTTCCTTCGTCAAAACCTCTGAAACGCCATGACTAATTACAATTCAAAACTTCAAGTAGGAGATAAACACCGGTAGCTTCCAAGTTGCAAAACCATAATTGAAGATCGTTACAGTAGAATATGAGAGAAGGAATTACCTTCTCCTCTGAGCTTGTTCCAAGCATTTTCAAGCCCGCTCGTCAACTGCCCGAACATTTCTGCTCTCACCACGCCACGCGTATCTCTTCTCAGAGCAACGCTCCTGCTATTCACCCAACCCCACAGTTGTCTCTGCTCACAGTAAATCCCTAGCAGAAATCAAACATTTCCGCCGCGCAATAAAGCATCAGAAAGAGTTACAAGTTCAAGATCCTTTTTGACTTACAGTAAACGGATTTCTGGACGAAAGAGAAACAACGCTGCTCGAACCGCTCCATGAAGAACGGACTGCTTTAGCAGAATTCCTCGCACATTTGCAGCTAGACCAGCTACTGGAGCTCTTCGGCAAGGACTTCGAAGGAAAGTGGCGGGAGGCAACGGTCGAGAACTGTACGGCCTCCATCGCTGGCGAAGAAATCCGCCGGGAGTTCTGATATATATTTGTTTAGTTTATCTATCAGCTGGAAATCCGTTTGTCATTTGCACCGTCTTCCATCTCTTATCTTCGGTGAGCTGGGATCGGATACTCCGCAGCCCAGCGAATGAATTCCACTTCCTAGATCCTGCGCCGTTAAATTTTTAGACCTCCACGTGTCCAACGGTAGAGTAACGGAATTTACTAATTTAGCGAGGACTAGTTGGCCGCCGGTGAATAACGGGATGATTTTCTGATCGGAGTTCGTATCATTGTTCAACCAAAGAAAGGGGAGCGAAACGGCGTCTTATGCGGGCGTTTTCCCGCCGGTGTACGCGCAATGAGCGCCATCAGGACCAAGCTTCATCACCAACTCCAGACCGTCACGGCGAGAATTCCCGTCCTCAATTCGACGGCCGCCACCAGAGGCGGGGTTCAACCATGGAACAGTCGATTAAGGGAGCTAGCAAACAAGTCGCTCTTCTCAGAAGCCCTGTCTGTCTACCTCCAAATGCTTCGCTCCGGTGCATCCCCGAACGCATTCACTTTCCCGTTCGCGCTCAAGTCATCCGCCGTGCTCTCTCTCCCCATCACCGGAGAACAGCTCCATTGCCAAGCGATCAGAACGGGTTGTTTGTTAGAACCCTTCGTTCAGACCTCTCTGATATCAATGTACTGCAAGTGCAATTTCGTTGACGTTGCGCGCCAGGTGTTTGATGAAAATCCTCTGTCAAGGAAGCTCACCGTTTGCTACAATGCTTTGATTGCTGGGTACGCCCTGAATCTCAGAACGAAGGATACCGTGTCGCTGTTCTGCGAAATGAGGGAATTTGGTGTGGAGATCAATGGGGTGACCTTGCTCGGCTTGGTTCCGGTTTGTGGAGTGGCGGGGAATTTCGGACTTGGCATGTGCGTGCACGGTTGCTGTCTGAAGTTCGGACTAAATCTCGACTTCTCAGTTGGGAATTCCTTGCTTTCAATGTATCTGAGATGTGGAGAAATCAAGACGGCCAGGAAACTGTTCGATGAATTGCCGGGGAAAGGGTTGATCACCTGGAACGCGATGATCAACGGTCATGCACAAAATGGACTTGCTAACGATGTGTTGGAGCTCTACAGAGAGATGGAAGCAAGCGGGATTCAACCTGACCCTGTAACACTCGTCGGTGTTCTCTCATCTTGTGCTAATCTTGGTGCACAAGAGGTTGGTAAAGAGGTGGAAAGGCGAATTCACGCTTGTGGATTTCTAGCTAATCCGTTTCTGAACAATGCTTTGATCAACATGTACTCCAGGTGTGGCAACTTGGTGAAATCCAGGCAAATCTTTGACAGAATGCCGGTCAAAACTGTAGTCTCTTGGACAGCAATCATAGGAGGTTATGGAATGCACGGACAAGGAGAGGTTGCAGTTGACCTCTTCGATGATATGATTAGGGCCGGCACAATACCCGATCGAGCAGCTTTTGTGAGCGTTTTGTCTGCCTGTAGCCATGCCGGTCTAACAGATAAAGGGTTGCATTATCTTGATACCATGGAGCAGAAGTTTCACCTGAGTCCAGGTGCAGAGCATTATTCCTGCGTCGTGGATCTTCTAGGCCGAGCTGGACGACTAGATGAAGCTCACGGGCTCATCAGGACCATGAAAGCTAAACCTGATGGTGCAGTCTGGGGAGCACTTTTAGGCGCCTGCAAAATTCACAGAAATGTGGAACTGGCCGAGTTGGCTTTTGAACGTGTTGTAGAGCTTGAACCAACAAATATTGGCTACTATGTTCTGTTATCGAACATATACACTGATGCTGGGGATTCGGAGGGGATACTGAGGATTCGGGTGATGATGAGAGAACGAAAGCTAAAAAAGGACCCAGGCTGCAGTTATGTTGAATTCAAAGGCAGAGTTCACCTCTTTGTTTCAGGGGATAGAAGTCATCCTCAATCGAAGCAAATATACGAGTTTTTGGATGAGCTGGAATGCAAACTGAAGGAACTTGACCAGAATAGAGCCGAGGAGCAGCTGCGAGGGTTGAGTGGGATGGGGGTGCACAGTGAGAAACTGGCTGTTGCATTTGGGCTCTTGAACACGAAGGAAGGAGCAGAGATTGTTGTGATGAAGAACCTGAGGATATGTGGAGATTGTCACTTGTTCATGAAGTTGGTTAGCAAGATTTTGCCACGACGTGAATTCATAGTGAGAGATCCAACTAGATTTCATCACTTCAGAAACGGAGTTTGTTCTTGCAAAGACTATTGGTGAAATAACAACATTCCAGATGCAGTAATATTTCATTTATGATATCATATAGATCAGAACTGTGTTACAGAACCTCCAATGGTTACAACTGCATTAGTTCCAGAAACAAGCTCGTCTTCGACGGATGGTATGGTTTTCCTCGCAGTTAATTTAATCGGAAAAGCTTTTCCAGCTCCACCAGTTTCTTGTCTTTCTAAGCAAATAGCAACATAATGAGAGCCCATCAGCTCCAACAATGCAAACTGCCAGTTGTTTGTGAGATTCTGAGGGCTATCCAAAGTTTCCACAGCTATTCCAGAAGAGGCCTGATTCAATGGCATATACAAGAAGAATCATTAATCAAACAGCTTTAAAAAGATATGTACTTTGCAAGCACATATTCAACTCTTTTCTTGCTTTAACTAGACAAAAACTTTCTTGGGCAGCTGTATTCACCCGAATAGTGAATGTGTTGAAGGGTGAAGAAGAGAATCCTTTTCCCAAGGCTTTGACATATGCCTCCTGTAAGCGACATTAATCATAGAAAGAACAAAGTAAGAAATGCAGCTAGAAATATCACAGCCTAAGGTCAAAACAACAGAATTCTAAAGACACAGATAGTACGTCCGTTGTTCCTGAAATCGTTGTATTTGCAGCATGCTAACCTTAAGGGTCCATAATTTGATGAACTCCTGTTGCTGGAGTTCAGAATCTGGAATGGCATTCAAGTGTTCAACCTCATGAGCAGTGAAATACCGCTTTGCAAAAGCTAAGATGTTATTCTTGGTCCTCCGTCGCTTCTCTTCAACATCGATGCCAATCTACAGACACAGAATCAAACACATTCGTTTCAGTTAGGTTACAACAGCAAAAACAAGGAGCAGATCAATCAAATTGCAACACTCGATAAAACGAACAAGGCAAGTAAGTACCAACGAATTCATAGTCACTCCACAAGCTACTAAAGAAGAAGTGTGTGAGATGTTGAACTGCAATGGCGGCGGGCAGAAACCATCCTTAGTTTCCCACTCCACCTATTCTAGAGAACAGCCAACAACATAAACCAAAACTTAGATCTCTAATAGCTACACAGCAATCATAACAAAACCAGAACAATGCCAGCCAGTTCTACCTCAGGTTTCCCATGGATATTCCTCTTGAACCTCAACGACCTCGGATCAAGATGACCATCTACCTGGTCTAGTTACACAAATTCATCATTCAAGAAGACCATACTCCAATTTGCAGCAAGGGAAAAGGCTATGAAGGAAGAAGAAAAACCCATACATCTTGCAATGGTTGTACGAACCAAAGTGCGAGCAAGCAAAGCGCTCTTCTGAAGCTGATCTCCGCGGAAGCCGAGAACATGATCTCTCTCGGACTGGGGCAAAAGCTCCATGTATTTGCTCAGAAGAGGCGCACTCTTCACTTCATCAGGAACTACATACCACAAGTGCGTTTCCCTGCAAAAAAACGAAAAACAAAAACGAAGGCTCTCGCGTTAACATCGATCTTCGAAGAAATGAAAGCATCAATTAGGGTTTGGTGGGCAATGAGCATACATTCGAGAAGGGAGCTGGACGGGGAGCAAAGGGGTTAACGCGGCGGAGAAGTTTCTCGACAAGCAGCAGTACTGTGGATTCATAAAGGAGAAATTCAAATACGATCTTCGAAGAAATGAAAGCATCAATTATGATCTCCTGAAGGAAATCAAGGGAGAAAACGCAAAAAGAAGCAGGGGCAAAATCAGGGGTTGGGACTTGGGATTTGGGAAGGGAGAAGCGGAGACCGGCGGAGTTGGAATGACCGCCGGGAGTCGTCGGTGAGGTGGCTGCTCTAAGCGAGACGATTTGGGCCCGAAAAGCGAATGGGCCTTTAAGTAAGGTCCAGACTCCAGCCTATTTTACTCATCCAGAGCAATTAAGCCCGGCGCTCCCACTTAGGCATTCCGTACATGGACCTGTTGTGATATTTTCTAGGATTTGGAAAATAATAGGGTAAAAACTAAAAAGTAAAAACAATATATTAGTCATAAGAGTTAATAGCATTTTGTAACCCTCTATTTTGGAAAATTAACAAACGTACCTATCTACTAAAATTTTGTAAAAACATATCCTTTAATATTAAATCGTAACAATTTTACCCTTCCATCTAATTATTCGTTAAGTGACTGTTAAATGGGTTAGGAAATGACATAATTGCCCCTCATCTACTCTTATTTTAGTTTTAATTATTTTATTGTTATGTACATGATCAATTAATTAGAAAAAACAAAAACCCTAAACAAATTTAGAAAAAACCCTAAACGAGAGTCAGAGAGACAGAGACCATCCGTCTCCCTGAAGCCTCCCCTGGAACCTACTCCCTCAACTACTCGCCGGCGGCAAACTCCTCGCCAAATACCCACGTAGGTCACTCCCCTCCCCTGCCAATTAATGTTTGTTTGCTTGGGTTGGATTTATCCCCAAGTCAAAGCGGATAAAATTGACCATGGCGAAGGGTTGTCTTTGGGTTTTATTTTGATTTATACTAGAGGTCTCCTCGGCTTAGTGTCGAACTCGCCGGACGCATCCATTTTCACCAACGTATCCCCCGCACCTCCACCAACCAGATCACCTCGACTCAGCTTCTCCCCCGTCGACGCCAGCTTCTCCATCATTCCGTCTCCATCCGTTGCTTGCCGTCGGCGAGGAGTTGGGGGAGTAGGCGCCGCCGGCGAGGAGCCGCGGGAGCAGGTTCCAGAGAAGGCTTCAGGGAGACGGATGGTCTCTGACTCTCTCGAGTGCTTCTAAATTTGTATAGGGTTTTTATTTTTCTAATTAATTGATCATGGAAATAAATAAATAATTAAACTTATATTAAGAGTAAACGAGGGGTAATTTGGTCATTTCTTAACCCATTTAACGGTTAAATAACAGATAATTAGATGGAATGGTAAACTATTTATGATTTAATATTAGAGGGGTATGTTTGTGAAAAAATTTAGTTGAAGGATATGTTTGTTAATTTACCAAAGTAGAGGGGTACAAAATGCTATTAACCCTAGCCATAACTATGAAAATACAAATTATTAGTAATAACTATTGTTGCGCGTATATGAATTATGAATGGCGAACAATCTGTTAATATCATTAACTTTGTAACAAAAAAGGCCACGTCAGCAGCCACATCAGATTAATTTTTATTTTTAATTTACAAACATAAAAAATCAAAAATAAAAATGGAGGGTCAAAGCCCAACTTTTCCCTTCTTCTTCCCCAGCAACATCACCTCTCGACCTTCTTCCCTCCTCCTCCGCCTACGCGTCACTTCTTCCCTCCTCCTCCCAATTGAATCCCTCCGCCTCAATCCCGCTTCTTCCGTCCTCCTCCAACCCCAAATCCATCAATTGAAACCCCCAACTGCGATTGGAGACAGAGACGAGGGGAAAGAGGAAGAAGTGTCGCAAACAGAGGGATCCCAATCTGGCCTATGGCGGCAGCTATGTAAATCTGGTGGCTGCTCTCCAGAGAATGACCTAGCCACGAACCCCAATCTAGCCTACGGCCTCGCTGCCGCTGCTCTGAGGTTTTTTGACCCGTTTCAGGTCGGGAGCAGACGTCACAGCTGGGGAAGCCGGGTTCCCGTTGGAGGTCGGCCTCGGGTTTCGGTTCTCGGACTTCGGCGGCGGTGCGGCGTCACCGAGCTCAGCTTTTTGTTCTCTCCAGGGAAGAGGATTGTTGGGCCACAGCTGAGCGGTACTGGGCTTGGAAGCCCACGAAAGGCCCAAAGAGAGAGGCCCGTTGGGGGGCCCCGGAGGCAGGCATGGGGAACGGAGAAAGGAGGGCGGCCGCCCTATGATGGGACAAGCAGTAGGCCGCCTGACACAAGGAGCCGTTGCTCGGTATAGGGCGAGATCTTCCCAAGATACTCACCTCGAACACCGCAGGACTGAGCATTAATTGCACGCCGTAGGCGGTCTAGATAAAGTATGGCTGATCTAGGACGCCTGACAATGGCATTTAATGCCTGAAACCCAGGCCAGACCACTATAAATACATTCATATCTGCATTGATGGTAAGCCAACTACTACCCTCTCTCTCTAAACATACATAAAAGTCTTCATTCTCTCTCTAACTTAAGCATTGGAGAGTGTCCTGGGCGACCGCCCACGGACCCCTGTTTTGCAGGAGCTTGGAGTCCCCCACCATCCGGAACAGGCGTTTCACTCGTTCTACACAAACCGCCTAGTACATTCTAGGCTCAAACAATTTGGCGTCCACCGTGGGGCGAGAGATAGCACTGAAGAAAGGATGGACGGGAGCTCCAACACCCCTGTCAAAGGCGTAGTAGGAAGAAGCAGCCCACGCGCACCAGACGCGCAGACGAGCGGCATCCGAGGATTGGAAATGCCCACCGTGGAGGAAGAAATGGAGATGGAGGACCGTGTAAAGAGCCAAGGACATCAAATATCGAGTATGCAGGAGAGCTTAGGCCAAATATTGGCCATGCTCAGGGAGAAAGAAAGCGAGGCGCCAGGAAGCTCAGGAAAGCGGCCAAACAAAGGAAAAGGAAAAGAGAGCGGTCCCGACAGCCCTGCTCGGACAGAAGGCGGGGAGTCCGAAGAAGAAGAAGCTGCGGAAGATAGCTTAGGGTTTTTGGAGGAACATCTCAAGCCCACGTATGGCAAGACCAAGGGTCCCACCATCCTCCAAAACCTGTTGGCTAAGAGCCTATTCAAAACCCAGGTTCCTCCCAATTTCTCATCAGTCGGGCTGCCCACATACATTGGGAACTCGGACCCCGCCGACCATTTGAGCGCCTTCATGTTGAAGATGCAGCTCATCAACGCCACAGACGCGGATCTGTGTAAGGCGTTCCCGGTCACCTTCGGCGGCCAATGTAGGACTTGGTATACCTCCTTGCCCGAGGGAATAATTGAAGATTTCGAGCAGTTCGCGACCCTCTTCTCCTCGAAGTTTGCGTCCCAGAGAAGAAGGAAGCTGACAGTATCGTCATTAATCAACTGTAAACAAGGGGGAGA